CCCTCCAGTGAGTGAGGTTGTGATGAAGAATTGCAATGGGGGTCCTGTTCTGATTATTGCAGGCTTGCTTATTGGTGGGAAGGGGCTGAAAGCATCGTTCTCTTGCACCTTAGTCATCAACTGAATGCTCAGTGCAACTGCTGGCTGTTAAGGTACATTTACAGTCCTAGCAATAGTGCCACGACTGTGATTTTGTAGTATGACTGAATATGAATCATTCAAAATCTGTAACTCTAGGTTAGTAATCTATAACTGCAATGCAGGATGCTTAGCCATTACTTTTTCAAATCAACATTATGAATTCAGATGTCTCCCTTGGACTTCTGTTTAAATAGGCCCCCCACCTGCAGCCTGTCAATGGGTGACTGAACTTGGGGGCTGTCATTTAAATTGACCCTTGTTGCCTCCGGCATAGTGTTGCTAGTGGAGTAATGTGGAAGGGGTGTCGGAGAGCCACCGTATTAATTTCCCACAATGCCTTCATGTTGCATCACCTGCAAAGGGGCAGTTTTTGAATTTCTTGGAGTAGGACTACATCAAGGGCATTGTGAGTGAATTAAATGAAGCCTCAGGGTTCCAGCACCAAAACAAATCAATTCCCCCACTGGTTCTATACATGGATGACTGAGCTTTGATGGCATTGGGTTTGAAGGTTAATGCTGCCTAGGGCCCTTCAGGCACCCCCCCCCCCCAGATATATGAGATCTATTATGCATAATTAGAATGAATCCAGGTATATATATATATATATATATTTTAAAAAAGATAACTTCTCTGTACTGGTCAAGGACCGAATAAACTGAATTGAATTGTAAAGATAACTGCTCCTTTTCTTCTTCCCTTTCCTCCTCCTCCCCCTCTTCCTCCGTTTTTATATCCCATCTATTACCCAAAACTAGGACTCAAGGTAACTTACAAATATAAACAACTACAGTACAGTATATATTATAGTTAAAATTATAATTATTCACTTATAGTTAATCTCCTTGCTGCAGAGTAATTGTGATTTCCTAGGATGTCCTTAATATTCTTAGGATATCCTTAATATTATTTGACAGACATGTATACCAAGGCTATTTCATCTCAAAACTGACATTGTGGAATGAGAAAATGCTAAAGAAATGGGTGACCAAAATGATTAAATTGTTGGAAGAAAAGACTCATTAGGAATGACTAAAAGTGCTTCTGGCTTTATAAAAGAAAAGACAACTAGCCCAACCTCCCTATCTCCCCATCTTTGTTTTTATTGGTTGCTTCTACATTTGGAAGACAACTTTCTGACTAGGAGAGTACTTGCTATCTGTGGACGCTCTTCATATGATCCAAACACTGGAAAAGACCCAACTGTAGTGAAGAGCCTCTGTAGGAGGTTCTCCTCTAACAGAAACTGTCATCTGTATACAGAGGGCCATAAAACTAATTATGGAGCAAAATAGGGATAGCATGCTCCTCTTCTCCCAATTTAACAGTGTCCCAGTTCCTAACCTATGACTAGTGGTGTAGGTATTTCATAATTTATTGAAGTCAGTTTCACTGACAATGAACTCCTGGTTCTTGTGTCTTGCACCTATGCAGAACCATGTTTGGGCTGCATCAATATGAAACCAGTTCTATTTGCCACCCTCCTTCCACGTAAATGCACGAAGAGGAAGCCAGCAGCAGGTTGGAGCTCTTCCCTCAGCAAAGTATCCAGAGGCTAATTAACTAATTAGGTAATTAAGTAATATCCTTCCTTTCTCCTTAAACAAGACCCAAGGCAGTTTACATCCAATTAAAAGAAAGGTACAACTGAAAAACTACCAGACATTAACAAACAATTAAACAAACAATTCAGTTTAAACAAGTTGAAACTTGTTTAGAATATTAAAAAGAAGATGAAAGCACAGCTGCATTAAAAGCCCTTCTGCCACAGGAACTGTGAGCCAAGGGCCTGCTTGAATAAAAAGGTCATGGCTTGCTGCTGGAAAGAGAGGAGAGAAAGGGCCAGCAGAGTCTCCCGTGGGAGGGAATTCCACAGCCTGGAAGCAGCAACCAAGAAGGCTCTCTACAGTGATCTTACCAAACCTGCCTGTGAACCATCACAGATGGGACTGAGAGAAAGCATTCCCCTAAATGTCTTAAAACTTCGGTAGGCTTATAGAAGGAAACACAGATTTCATATAGCCTGGACCCAAGCCATATAGGGGTTTGAATTCTGCCGGGAAATAGATCAGTAGTGAGTAACAAGAGAGTTATGTGTTCCCTGCAAGCAGCCTGGCAGTCTGGTCAGTGGTGTCACTGAGGTCGGTGTCACCCAGCGTGTTGTGTGAGGTGAACTGCCTTGCCCTCCCTCCCTCCCCACCAACCAACCACTTGCCCAGACCACTGCTGAAGTAGGCGGTGCTATAGCCTCCAAAGTGCTCATTTAGGGCCCAGTGCAGCAGTTGAGGAATGCTAGGGGGTTGTGGAGGGAAAATCAACCTAGGGCTCATGCAGCTTTCGGTCCCCACGCCTGCAGTATATGCACTTTGAATCCAAGGATAGTAATATGAAGAGTGGCCTCCTTCCCCTTCCTATAAGGCAGCCCCCTTATGGGCATAGAGTGAATGAACCCCTCTTTCAGAAAGCTGTGAGGTTGCATCATAGCACTGACTGCTAAAGGACCCCAGTGGCCATGGCTTCTTGAGACAATGCTGGGCACATTGGACCTAATTTTCACAACTACTGTATATAACTTTGCTGGACTTCATGCTGTGCCAAATTGAGCAGACCTGTGTGAAGCTGGGTACCTTTGCTAGTGTCAGAGAGTAGTACAATAAGGCCCCCAAACCTCTTTCAGTGTGCAATTTCTTTATTGGATCCCTCTCCAATATATCTAATCTTTATTTTCTTTATTACTCTTTCCCCAGCTCTGTCAAAGATGCACTGGACACCGGAGCATGCTCAGCCCCTGAATCAGTGGCCGGAGCAGCACCTTGATGTCTCCTCCACCACCTCCTCACCTGCCCACAAGTCTGACCTCTACCACAGCAGCCGGCAGCGCTTCAACTATGCCTGGGCCAATGATGACATCTCTGCACTGACGGCTTCCAACTTATTGAAGAGGTATGCTGAGAAGTACTCTGGAGTACTGGACTCTCCTTATGACAGACCATCAGCAATCAACACCTATGGGGATGGTGCATTTGGGCCCCTCAATGGTCAGAAGGCAGAGATGGAGCCCTGGTCAATGGCACACAGCTCAGAGGGGGTCTACCCTCTGACCCCAATGCCTGATGGATTGTCCAGCTCCAAGGGGATTGTCCCTCC